GAAAAGACATTAGTAGTCTTATCCAGAATAGGATCCTGCATGCTACAGTACAGACCTGACAGGCAAGCTGAATCCATTGGTGCAATAATGGCATTGCTGTTATGGACAAATACCATAGGGCAGTCATAGGCCCTAGGGGATAATCTGCCAGTGTTTTTCTAAATGTTTCTGTTAAATACTTGCATTTATATACATGGTTTTGTGCTGTTCCCAATCCTGATCAGAGAATCTTCTGATCGCAGTAGGTCGTGGTTAATGAAGAGACACACATTAGTGTTCAAAGTGCTGAAAATCAGTGAGTGTGAGTATTCAGCTACAGATGGGACATCTGTATTAATGCTTCCCTTTAAGAATTTTGTGCCTCACTTAGAAAGTCACTGATTCTCAGTAACACATCCATTCTAAAACTAACCATGCCATTTTCTCTTTGTTCCTTCTCTTCTTTATCGGTATGGATTCTTTATGCTTTCATGGTGCATTTGTTGAATCTTGGGCACTATCACACTGCTATAATCACTATCCCTGCACTGATTATTCAAGTCTCCAGCCAACCTTGCTTTTCTAATCTGAGAGATGCTCCCTTTTCCTGCCATTTGCAGTTCCACGTAGATTATAGAACCTGCCTGATAATTTTAACGCACTCACGTGCCCCTGTAGCCTACTGGGAAATTATTTAAGATACGGCAAATGTGGTGGACAATTTAGGGAGAAGGACTACAATACTATCAGTTGTGTGTTAATACCAATCTTCTAAGCCACACATCTGTGTTCCCTCACTTTTAATGGAATTTTATGTGCACACATAAAATGTGACCTTCTGGTTTCCTTCTCCTGCCAGCATGCCATGCTTTCCCCAGCATTATGGACTGTAACCCTCTGGAACCACAAGCTCAGATAAACTCTCTCTTAAGTTGCTTTGGTCATTATATTTTATCACAGCAACAGACAAGCAGTTGATACATTCTCCATATTCGTTCAGTTTCGTTTAACTCATACAATAAAGAGTTGCTACTATACTGGGGATTTTAAGTATTTTAGGTAGGATGGTAAAAAGAAAAACCCTCAAAATTTGTGTGAAACAACCAAAGTAATATCTAATTTATATCCTTAAAAGGATTTTCTATAAAGGAAGTAGTGAGTTCATTCTCAAAAAACCATCAGTGTGCCTTTTCCAGAGATGAGCAGCATATCATGAAGCTGTGAGTCCATACTCCGTAAGTCAGGATCCATGGACAGTCCTTAGATCACTCAGGGTGTGGCACTGAAGGGGATAAAGGGGCTGAAGCCCTTTCCTCTGTCTTCTTTGCTTCCTGAGACACAAAACAAGCAGTTTTACCGCCACATACTACCAGTAGAAAATGCTACCTCATCAAAGCCCTGAGCACAGATTGGGACTTGAACCTATGACCCCAGAAGGACCTTTCTGTCTTAGAAGCTGATTAGCACAAGTGTTGATAGTGGTAGAAAAACGAGACTAACACAACTGAGGAGACAATGCATAGAATGCATCCCGTTAACATCTATACAAGTTATGTGAGTGTCTTTGTTTGCTGTGATGAGCTACTCTGACAGAGGTCACTTAAGGGAGAAAGGGTTTATTTGGACTCACAGTTCAAAGGTGTGATTTGTTGTAGTGTGTGTACTAGTTAACTTTCTGTTGGTGCGATAAAACATCGTGAACAAAAGAAGCTAGTGGAAGGGATCCGTTTGTCTGACAGTTCAGAAGGATGAGGATCTATCACTGTGGGGATCAGCAAGTGCAGGCATAGTGGCCTGAGACAGAAGCTCACATCCTCAACTGCAAACCTGGAGCCCAGAGGATGTACTACAAGTGTAATGAGGCTTTCAACTCCCAAAGCCCATCCCAAGGACGTTATTTCTTCCACTCAGGCTGTACCTCCTAAGGCTCCCCAAACAAAGTTACCAACTGGGGACCATGTGTTCAAGAGCCTATGAGGGGCCTTCCTCATTCAAACCACCTTAGTGGGAAGTCAAGGCAACAAGACAGGAGCTTGGAGCAGCTGCTCCCATCAGACCCACAACCAGGAAGCAGAGACCAATGCAGGGAATGGTACCACCCACAGTGTGCAGGACAAGTAGGAAGTAAAGAGAAGGTGTACACCCTCAAAGTCCTTGCCCAGTGACGTGCTTCCTCCAGCAAGGCTCCACCTAGCAAAGGTGTTAGGACCTCCTTGAACAAGCTACCAGCTTGGACTGTGTATTGAAAATGTGGCCCTATGGAGGACAGTTCTCATCCAAGCTACTTGCCACAGGCTGAATGGGAGAACCATTCTTCCCAGAACCACTTTCTGAGTGCTGTTATTTCATGTGGTGGTTTTGTGTTGGGGTCCATAAGAGAGTGGCCCTGTAATCACATGGGTCTTTTGCGGGACTTGGGTGTCAAGATTACTCCCATCACAAAATTTGTGGAACAATATTCTCTTCCACTTGGTAATCTTCAACATCTGTGTGAAGTTGAATCTTTTATAAGTTGACTTGGCAGTAAAATCGCCAGGCAGTAAAACCACCAGGCCTGGATTATCTTTGCTGGAAGTTTGTTTAAAATCGGACCAAATTCTCATACTCATGATGAGGTGCCTCGAATTTTCTTTTTAAGACAATTTCAATCTTTGGGGTGGAGAGATGACTCTGCAGCTTAGAGCAGATGCTGCTACTGCAGGGGGTGGGTGTTCAATTTCCAGCACCAGCATGGGGAATCACAACCTTCTGTAATTCCAGTTCCAGGAGATCTGACACCCTCTTCTGGCCTCTGTTGCCACTGCACACATATGGTGCACATGGTATGTGCACCTATGCATATAACATAAAAATAAAGAAATCCTTCAAATTTTCAATTATATTTTTTTCTAGATATGTTTCCGTTCTCTCTGGAGTTTCTAATTCACAAGTTTAATAATATCCTATTATCATTTCAACGTTTTTGCCTCCATGTTCCCATTCTTAGGTTTCGTTTTGCCATTTTTCTTTCCTGTATTCTACTTCTGCTTCCAGTTTTGCTAGTGTACAGTATATAAATATCAAAACATTTCCTTCATTGTTCTACCTTGGGCTTGTGTGGTTCTTAAACCCGTTCCTTCTCTCTCTTATACTAGAACCCTCTGGGAACACAAACTAGGCAGTAATTGCTATTCACATGCACCTTTATGTTCTTCTAAGTATTTTCCATGTTCTACTATAGTAAGTCTTTACTATATTGTATATAAAACTACATCTCTAGAGCCAGGTGTGGTGGTGTGTGCCTCTAATCCTAGAGCTTGAGAAACTGAAAGGAAAGGGTTGCTGTTAAAAACAGTTCTCTGGAAAACTAGCTCAAGGCATTTTCTCTTGACTTCCCAGTCTCATTTTGGTTTATTTTGTATCTTTGAAGACTCATTCATATCCAGTGTTGCTCCCTGTGCAGTTACTGTTTTGCAGTCAGTGCACAGACACTGCTTTATCTGGAACCATGCTTGCTTGCTTCTGCTTCGAGTTTCAAATGTTCCGTATAAACTGACTTGACTCCTCCTGAAAGGAAGTACAGTCTTTAGACAGGGTCTAGCGGTGGGGGAACTCTCCCTATACTTGTGTCTGTGTGTCTCCTAAAGTATCTTAATGAAACCTCCCTTTTTGAAACACATTGCTGCTGACGCACACAAGTTATAATTCTCAGTTGATCATTTGTTTCAGGTTTATCTACTTTATGTATACAAGCATTTTGTCTGCATGTGTGTATGCGCACTACATTAGTGTCTGGTGCTTATGAGGCCAGAAGAGGGCATCGGATCCCCTGGAACTGGACTTACAGATGGTTTGAGCTTTCATGTAGGTGCTGGGAACTGAACCTGAGTTCTCTGCAAGAACAACACATGCTCTAATGGCTGAGTTACCTCTCTAGCCCCTGTTGATAGTTCATTCCTTTCAGCATCTGATAAATAGGACGTGCTGCCTTCTGCCTTCTATTTATGCTCCTAATACCTTGAATTCTAAAGATAAATTATTTTTCCAGATGGTAGCTCTAAAGTTTTCCTTGTGTTTGGTGTTCTGCCCATACGCTGCTTCATTCATGTTGTTTGATGTTTTATTGGGTGGCCAAGGGCTAGAATTTGCAGCTTGGTGTCTTTTTATGGTGATGGGAGATTTAAGGTACCGTGTTTGGGCATGTCTTAGGCGTGGTCCTCATGTGTACATTCTGTGTACTTTAATGCACTGGACACATATGCTAGGCTTCCCATCTGACCCTCAGTGTCACCTGACCACTCTGCCTTCATTTTTATCTTGGGTGCATTCACATCCATCTCTTCAGCCTGTTTTTTTTTTTTTCACTTCACTGAGCCACTTTTCTGTTCCTAGTCTATTAAACAATCACTGAATTTTCAATTCTAATTGCCATTTTTAAGGTTTTTAAAAATTTTCTGCTTGATTTTCTTTTTGAGATAATTGTCCATCCACTCCTATCTTTTCTGGATCTTATTTAGATACCTTCCTTCACTGAGAAATACTTAAAGTACTCATTTCTTAAGCAGTTTCATCGAGGTATAAAATAACGCACAATAAATTGTATGGATTTAAAAAGCACATTTTGATGTGGTTGCTTGCATTCCTGAAACCACCAGGCCTGTCAAGATAGGGACAGAATAACCATCGGCAGCCTCTCATCCAGTGTCTTCCCCATCCACTCCTTGTGTCTCTACCCAGGCAGCCAGTGATGTGGTATTTTTTGTCACTATGTTTTAATTTACAAAACGGACTTACCCTCTGGCCTTAGTAGTTTCAACTTATACTTATTATTTTATATTTTGAATCTGCTGTCTGGTTCTCTAAACCCAAATGCTTGATCTCAGCAAGTTGACTTTGCCTTCATCCAGTGATGCAGATGAAGGTGTGTGTGTGTGTGTGTGTGTGTGTGTGTGTGTGTGTGTGTGTGTGTAGCTCCAGCAATTAGAAGAACAGAGTATGCATTCTCCCCTGAGGAGTACATTCTACATTCTGTTCCTTGGTTCCATGACCTCATGATGGCACCTTGACTTCTCTGACTCTCTGACCTCTCTGATTTAGTCTGATTCTCTGTGAGTACAAAATGGGGCCATCATCTCTGTCTGCAATGAGATGTGCTGACAAATTTGCTCTGGTTCCAATAACCTTTCTTCTTAAAACTTGTTAACTACAGTAGTGGTCATGATGTGTTAACTGAGGCTTTTTCCGGACACTAAGCACAAAACTTAGAGTTAAACATGTGGTTACCCATTCTATCACCATGGCACAGTGGTTAGCAACATACCTGAAATACGCTGAGGCTGAGCAGCAGGTGATGGAGTCATACTCCAGCCATATACCCCCAATACCCACGTTTTTAACCATCATATAATTTTGTACTGTCATATCCTGGTCAGATGTCTACAGTTTAGTTTTTATTGAAAAGTTCTGTCTCATTTGACCCAACCTCTTTTCAGATTCTACATGTGTTGTCATGGCAGGCAGAGCTGTTTGTATCAGCCAAGACACATTTAAGAAAAACTCTTTTGCGTTATCTGACTGATGCCTTACCAGTCTTCAAGGTGGTTTCATTCACCTGTTCACCGAGTTAGAGACTGAGGTTGGAAGTGGCTGGGTCATCACAGTATAGTGTGCTTTGCCACTGACTTGCAGAGCCTGAGCTCTGTGGCTCCCTGATGTCAGGCCCTGAGGATGCTTGATCACGACTGTGATCCTGAAAAGCTCCAGGCTACAAAAGCACAAAAAGTACAGAGATCACTGAGGGAGGGATGGGAACTCCAGGAGGCTCCTCCAGCAGTTTCGGACTGGACTGAGTCCTGTATACATGGCAGACAGTGTCCAGCCACTGATGTGCATAGCAAGAAGATACCACCCAGCAAGGCACAGAGGCAGGAAATCCAGAGACAGGAAGTGCAAGCCCCATAGAGGACAAAATGGGAAGCAGAGAACAGGAGAGACCTGAGAGTGAGTGAGGTCAAGATGAACCTCAGGCCTTGGCCTTGACCTCAGAGCCAGTCTGAAACCTGGAACAGAACGATTGTCAGCAGCGAGCATGATGGCCCTTTCCAAGGACAAAGGCACAGGATCATGAGTGTGCAGCTGCAGATACAATTCCTCACATTATATGGATCTGTGACTGGTTTTGCTTTGTTTCATTTTTTCCTTTCTGATTTCCCCTAGTGTGTGTACTGGAGTGACGGAGGCGTGCCACGCCCACCTCAACTCCTGCTTCCAGCTACTTCCAGAAAGGTAGCCTGCTTCATAATGACCTTGAGGGTCATGTGTGCCAACTTCTTTCCTTCCTTTTCCTATGGTGCCTTTGAGTTAAGTCCCTCCGGAAACTGATGCTCTCCAAGTCTTGGGATGAGAGTCCCTGCTGGTCCCTAAAGGTACGCCCAGTTCAGAAGCAGAATCGTTATTTACTTGGGGGAGGGGGTTAAGAGGAAGTTTTGAGGCCCCTGCATTAAGAAACTGTCACTGTGCCCTCTCAAATTACATGCTTCTCAAGAGGAGGCTGCTTTAATAAAAATAGATCCTACACGACATGTTATTCTTTATAATTGGACCAAAGATCAGAAGGAGAGCACACTTACAAGATAATCTGAAAATGAACAGACAAATAACACAGTAATCACCAAATCCTTGTTACTTGAAGCCCGTCCACCCCGGGAGGCCCTTTCTCCCTCGATGATCAGGCCTGACCCCTATTAATTTTAATAGGAGTTAAGTAGTCACATCAAGAGAAATGGCAGTGGGTACAGTCCCAGTGAGCCAACCCCCGAGATTAAGACCTCCACTTTGGGCTCTCTTCTGAGAGTGTGACACACTGCCTGATGCTTATCTGCTTTTAATTGTGTGTTGTGTGTATACGTTTGCCTCCCTTCTTTTTGCAGAGGAGGTAATTTGCAAATCATTGCTATCTGCCTCCCTCCAAGGAAGAGATAAATTGCATGAGAGGCTGTGGCGTTTGGCCTGTTTGATATCCTTTACTGATAAATTGGAGTGCATGTTCGTAATTAATACCCGGTCTTCTCTGGCCGACTCCATTACACCAAGGCTGGCGGGTATCTGGCTGCCACAGAGAATGATTGTGGTGATTCACCCTGCTCTTTTTTTTCTTTCGTCTTCTTCTCCTTTCTCTAAGTTTACCCTTTACATCATAATCATTTGAAAATACACACAATACAAATCTGGCAGGCCTTCTGCTGGGCAGTGTCAGGTGCTGATAGTTTTAAACGTCGTATCTTTAAAGATGAAGCTGAGACAGGCTTGCTTCTGTGAGCCCTTTTAACGTGGCAAGTGACATTTCCCTCCGTTTAAATATGGCTTTGTTGGACCACACTTGCATCCGGAAAGAAAAAAAAAACACCAAACAAACAAAAACCAACAATAACAAATAGCACTGTTGCAACCTGAAACCAAAGTGAGATAGGGTCCCTCTTTACCTTCTGTCTTGAAATGGGAAGTAGAGAAAAAGCCAGAATCAGGGAAATTAAGTTAAATTCAAAATTCTTCTGAACAGGATAAACACTGCTCTGTGAACAAGTAAAGCAAACAAAGCCAGACACTACTTAATAGGATCTTGGCAGATAAGGGAGGCTCTGCGTTTGTAAGCAGGCCTCCAGGTTTCCAAAAGAATTGGAAAAGGAGCTGAGGAGCTCTCTATCTCCTGACTTAGGAAGAGGAGAAGTTATAATTCCATGGCCATTTGACCGATAAAGATTGAAGCTCAAGATACACATGGAGTCAAAATACAAGTCTCCTGATGTCTGCAGAATTCCCTCTCCACACTGGGGCCTTCCCAAGACTTGATGGTTGATTTCAAGTGAGTTAAGTCCACTCTTGAATTTTAGACAAAGCAGAATATAAAGGAATAGTGGGCTATTTACTGTTGAGACAGTCCAATTGTCTTCTATCACCCCTTTCCAAAAATCCAGCCAGAACATTCTTTTTGTGGCCCACTCCCGACTCCTCCTAACTATTCCTCTTCTCAAGTTTGATGCTAAATTGCTTTTTGGATCTCTCAAATTTTCCAGCTTCCACTGAGTTCATCTGCATGATAGTTCAATGCCTATTAAGAGACATCAGAACTTGGAGAACTTTGGCATCCTGAGAGCCACAGCTCGTGCTTCTAAGAGGCTAATGTTAACCAGAGAAACTTCTGGAAGGACCACAAGATATAGGACCCAAGACCCACAGTTAAGTTCTGTAGATTAAGATGAGTGTGTTCATGCTCCTGGTTTGTAGCATGTTGTGGCGTAGCTAAATTTAATAGATCAAACTGACACTTCTATTTTTAAGTTGGAGTGAACTCTATAGCATGACTCTATCCATTCTCCTGGCCCCTTGTCTTCCAATTGTCACTGTCCAAATATGTTTTTTTGAGTAATACTTGGGAGCGAGTCATGGTCTACGGAGCACAGTTCAGTTGGAGACTGTGGTGGTTTGAATGGAAATGGTCTCCCCAGGCTCAGAGGGAGGGACACTGTTAGGAGGTGTGTCCTTGTTGGAGGAACTGTTCACAAGGCATGGACTTTGAGGTTCAAATGTTCAAGCCAGGCCCAGTGTCACTCTCTCTTCCTGCTGCCTGCAGATCTGGATGTAGAACTCTCAGCTACAGCTCTAGCACTATGCCTGCCTGCCATGTTTCCTGCCATGATCCTAATAGAGTAAGCTTCTGAATTGTAAGCCAGCTCCAATTAAACATTTCCCTTTCTGAGTGTTGCTGTGGTCAGAGTATCTCTTCACAGCAGTAAAACTCTAAGACAGGAGCCAAAACAAGGAGCAGATGTTTCGATGCATTCTCAGGTGTTGAGAAGTGCTATGAAAACAGCAAGACCAGTGGAGAAAGGGAAGGGGCAGTTTGTGTTAGACACTGTAGTCAGTGAAGAAGTATCTGAGGGGGTGGAGTGTGAGTGACCACATGAGCAGAGGCAGTGAGGGAAAGAGAATCCTAGCAGACAGGCCTTTGCTGGAGCGCCTCTGTGGCCAATGAGAGCTGTACAACATGACAACCAATGGGACATCTGTCTGGGGCCTCTGACCCTGAGGAAATGTGCACACATATGTGTGTCCCTAACTATCACCAACAGCCTGTCTATGAAGCTTATAGTCGTGGGAAGTGGAGCTTTGAGCCCAGATTGCTTGTGGGCAATGCTCTTTGTTGGCTGAGCACCAGAGAGTTGAAGCCCAGGATAAACAGTGGAGAGGTTGCCGCTTGGGCTCACCAAAGAGTCCTGTTGGAATCAGTAGTGACATTTGTGAGCTGGGGAAGGAGTGAGACTCTGATTAAGAAATAACCTGATCAGGCTGGGGAGATGGCGCAGTGAGAGACGCTCTTGACAAGCAAGTGTGAGAACCTCAGCTCATGGTTCAGTGTTTTAACACTGAACTCCACCCCCAAGGGCATTAGTTCAAGTCCCTAGCCCTGTAAAACCGGGTACAGAAACACAAGTGTGGGATCTCAGCACCCTTACAGTGACATGGGAGGAAGAGACAGGTACCCTAAGAATCTTGTGGGTCAGCTGTCCCGGTGTATGAAGCTTGTGAACTCCAAAGGTGAGAAAAGCTGTAAAACAAAGAATGACACTTGAGCTTGTCTTCTGACCTTCCTCTCCCACTTCCTACAAACTATTCCTCTTCCTAACTTAGACTTGATAAGGTAATGATGGCAAATGCATACCTACACTCACACATAGATACACACACCCTAACATACATACTTACTCAATACGCATGCACACACACAACCACACACACACCTGTATGCATGCATACAAGCACACATGCGCACACATGCACATATACATGCAAGTATGCATGCTGCATGAACATACACATGCACACCAGAGAAAGAGTTGATTGGAGGCTGGGTTTATCGGTGACAATATTTTCCTTCCAATTTAGTTTGGAAGAAAATAAGATCTAGTTCCCAAAGACATAGCAAGAAGAATTAGGCAGAAACCAATGAAAGAAATGTTCAAAGAATGAAGACATGTTCAGAGAAATTTTGGAGAAGTTGTCAAAGGCAAAGAGACACCGAATTTCACACTCAGGTTGGAGATGGAAACCCAGGCCAAATGGCATGAGGGAAAGGGCTCCAACTTGCTTGTAGGGTGTGCGTGAGGCCTGATGGAGTCTCCATCTCATGGAAAACAGGTTCCTCTGGAGATAACCTCAAGTGTCCACTAACTGGGCAGGTTGTGCATGAGGCATGATGGAGTCTCCATTGCATGAGTTTAAGGGTCCATTAACCTTGCAGGGTGCGCGTGAGGTGTGATGGAATCTCTATCACATGGAAAACAGGTTCCTCTTGGAGATGATAACCCTAAGTGTCCACTAATCTTGTTTCAGCATTTGCTATGGAAATGAAACTCATCAACACTGCCCAGGCTAACCTAATATGGATACACACATATAAATCTTTTATAAGTGTGCACTAAAGGGGGCCACAGCTTAAGCCTCTGTCTAGGAAATCAGCTTTCGAGACTTGCAGCGCCTGTGGGACTGAGCTCTCTGCAGTGTGGAGACATCCCAGATGGATGTCAGCACCCACAGCCCCTCTCTCAGTCCCAAAGCTCCTCTCACCATGCGGCTTGGGGTCTCAGTGGCTTCTCCCCTGTATCTGCCAATGAGGGTTACAAAGAATGTGCAAAACAGAATGGCAACTTCTGGCTTGCCTATGGTGTTCAGTGATTGATTCTTTCCAGAAATGGTTTTCTATGAGTACATGTTTCCCCCTGCCCCTTATAATACTCAATGCACTATTGTGGAGAGGTCTATTCTGCTAGTTGCTTGAGAGACCTGTGTAGAGTGTGGTGTGTATGCTTCCTTTATAGCTTTCACATAGGGAACACCTAGTAGAGAACAAATGAATGGCTGAATGAATTAATGAATGAATGAAAATCATTTTACCTTTTTTGTTTATTTTTGCTTTTTGCTTTTTTTCTCAATATACGTTTTTATTTAAGTTAGAAACATGAATGTTTCACATGTCAGTCCCAGCTCCCTCTCCCACCCCTCCTTTAGCCTATCATGGCTCTAATTTTTTTCTTTTTGAGACAGGGTTTTTCTGTGTAGCCCTGGCTGTCCTGGAACTCCCTCTGTAGCCTATGCTGGCCTTGAATTCACAGAGATCCGCCTGCCTCTGCCTCTTTAGTGCTGGGATTAAAGGTGTGCACCACCATGTCCAGTCACGGCTCTAGTTTTGGTGTTACCCTTTTGTGTGAAGTATTTTCTCTTTGTCGCTGCTCCCACCAACATCAGCATTGATAGGAAAAAGGTGCTTTTCTGTGTTCAAGCCACATGGCCCTTTATTAATGACACTTCTGGGCTCTGTTCCTGTGCTCAGATTGGCCATGGAGAGCTTGTGTAAGCAAAGAATGTAATTTAAGTGCCAATAAAAGTTGATTGTAGACATATGAAGTGTATGGACTGGGGGGTAGGTGTCTTGGATGCCTTACAAAGCGGGTTTCATGTTTCATCTTCTGCATGGGGCTTTACAGGGGGTCTTAGGGAAGCCACAGACATCTAATTGGTCCCTTTTGCTAAACATCATATAAATCTCATCATGTTCTCATTCAAAACTGCGTCTACAGGACCACAGTGTGGAAAGGGGTCCAGATTGTCTATCAGCTTTGCTCTTAGTGTGGGCTTGAGAGACACTTGGCAGCTAATTGCCAGGTCATCTTTAAATATGGACAACTACACTGGGACTAAAGTGCTTCTTGATTGCAAAGGTGGCACCGTACAAAATCTACTGATAAATACTATTACTATTATCATGTTAAATTATTTTTCCTATACTTGCACATGTATGTGCTGTGTATGAGCATGTGAGTGTGTGTGTGTGTGTATGAGTGTGTGTGTGTGTGTGTCTGTGTGTGTGTGTTCGTGTCTGTGTGGGCTAGGGCTTGACTTCCAATGTCTTCCTGCACCTCTGTTCACTTTGCTCTTTGAGAAATCTCTCTCTGGACCCAGTGTTCCCCAGCTTAGTTACTCTGTCCATGTAGTGTCTGCCTGTTGGCGCTAGGGTTACAGGTGTGTCCCGCTACCTTCAGCTGCTTTCTGGGTTCTGAGGATCTAAACTCCAGTCTTCACGGCTGCCTGGCAAGCACTTTTGCTGTGAAGACCCCCCCCCACACACAGCCTCTTGATGAGTATTACTATGAAAGTTTTCTTTTGTCCACCCAAAAGGAAATGCCTGGATCCTCAATGCTTCTCTCCAAAGTCTGGATTCCAGGAGCATCCAGGCTTGAGTTAGGACACACAGCCAGCATGGGGCAGTAACTATGCAGCAGCTGTTTACCCCAGCACAGCTGGCCCGAAACAGGAAATGAGAGAGACCTTCTCCAGGGAAAACTAAAGGAGTTTTTGGTGAGCAGAATGCAATTATCCCGGCTGGAAAGGTGCCAGGGTAGACAGTACACACCCGGCAGACGTCACAAAGGCACAGAGGGCTCTCGCCCACATAGACTGTCTTAGGCAGGATGCACAATGGGAGTGCAATCAGGACAGGATATCGTTCACGAGGGCTATACCTTTTCAGGACCAAGAGGGGATGCTCTTGGAATTAACAATCCAAGAATGGCTCATGAACTGTCACGTTGTGGTTTCATGTCTGCAAGGTTATTGACAGCCAAAGCCTGGTCTATTCGTGTGTGTCGGGGTGGGGGGATGGGGGATGGGTGGGAGGTGGGTGTTGGGTGCCAATGGAAGCAAAAAGGGGTTGTCAGATCCCCCCGGAAATGGAGTTGCAGGCAGTTGTGAGCAGCCACACCTGGGTGATGGGGACAGAAGATCAACAAGCACTCCTAACCACTGAGCCATCTCTCCAGCCACGAGGGACTCAGTGTTGAGTAACTGACAGCGAGAGCTCATCATGAGGGCATAGCTGGGCCTGCCCCGTCACTCAGGACTGGTCTGAGTTCTGGCAGAATGGGTTCTCACCAGAGATGACATTTGCTCTAGCCATTCGTAAACTCCCTGCAGCTGCTTCCTGAGTGCACACACAGCAGTCTGAACAGCACCTGCAAAAGGAGTGTCTGTTTATTAACGCATTTGAAAGACAAGAGACTGGAGCATGCAAGGATCATGGACTTCCTGGAGATCACCCTTTCTCGAGAAGCTTTGAAGAGGTTTATGTTCTGTGACCCTCATTCTTTACCCCTTCCCAGAGCTTCATATGAGGAGCCTCT